TATATATATATATATATATACATATTATGTATATAGTATGTACACACATTTATGATCTCAGACAGCACATGATATGCTAACATTCAATATTCATACTAAATGTACTGTGATCATACCGAATAAACTAGAAACGTCTCAGTAATGTGATGTCTCAGTAAAATATCATTTTTTGTGTATTGTTAAGATGTATTAAATATATCGACATTGAATTGATGTCGATTATATTCGACATTGAAATTATCATGGTTGCGATTCACTTAACGCTTTAAACGTTACAAAGCATTTGTAGCATTGACATGACTGGTTTATTTAAGGCGTTTTTTTTCGTTATCCAAGCAAAAGCTACCACAGCTAAGGCTATCTTCGTTTTCAGGCATCAGAAGAAAAAACGCCATTTTGCTTCGGAACGCTACCAGCAACTCTGATTATGTTATCAATATTCCATACATTTCCAATTAAATTTATTATTCAAAAATAGGTATGTTCCCAAGCAGAACAACTAGTCACGGTATTATAATGTTAAAATGACCTTAAAATAATGATGTCAAAATAACTCTAAAATATCATTTTGGAATCATTTTAACATCATTTTGATTTTATTATACTGGTTAATCAAACTGCTTTAGACGTAATCTAACGGAAATAAAAATAGCATGAGTAAACTTAATCATAAGGCGAGTTTCAACCGGTTGAAACTCGCCTTATTGCGAGGTTACGAATAAGTTTACTGTTATTTCCATTTCCGTTAGATTACGTAAACTAAAGCAATATCCTGATTGATTCATCGACTTAAGTTTACGATCACTTGTTATGGAATTTTATGTGCGGTAGCTCTTTGTAGTGATAAAGAGCCCCTTCGCTCTCTTTCCATTCATTTTCTTAACATTTACAATCAAAATATTGATCATGATGTGTTAATAAAGAGTTGATTTCAGATTTTGAGAGTTAATTTCAGAGCAGCTTGTATGTTTGAAATCAAATTTACAATTGCCACTGTTACAAGAAGGTCCTTGAAATTAATAGAACTTGGCCAAAGGCCATCTGATTTCGTAAATGTGCGGAAATTATAGTATTTTTCCTTAAACAGCACTCTTTAAAATCGCGGTCCAATTCAAGCTCAGAACGCTCATAAGCATCGTTTGTCTAATATGAGCATTATCTGTTTAACATTTGACAAACAATAAGAATGAAATGATTTTTAAGCATTGTGAACGTCAATCGAATTGCAGCTTAAATGTCATAGTTCAATCCTAAAAATGTTGATAATTAACCTTTAAAAATCTCTTTTTCCCATTCTTTGCGATAGTGTTTTTTATATTTGCCGTGTTTACCCATCTTCAAATTCGCGCGTTAAGATATCTCTCGGATCTCCGGTTAAACTAACCGAGCTAACAGTCGGATCGCGTTCCAAAATTTGGGAAGGTTCCGATTGCGCACAGTGCATGTTGTACACATGCATCACTAATTGGCCAATTTAAAAATAGAATATTCTCATTGATAAAGCAGTAAAAAATTACTAGGCACCAACTGATATGAGTGGTGTGTGCAATTGGGATTGTAGGCAAACGGGATCCTCCCCCAAAATTCAACTATTAATAGTACAGTAGTTACGTGCACTATATATTTTCAGCATTGGCATAAACATTGGAAGCCTCGTAGTAGTACCAACAAAAATTCAATGAAGCATTCAGCATCTGATGGAAAGGATAACATGTTTTACAACAACGTACACAGGTGACGCAAGCTATGATCAAAGTCTCGCTACAAATGCTTTGAAGTATTTGATGGGCCAATTAGAAGGAAGAATTTTTCAAACTGACTAATTAAAAAACGCTTCAAAGCGTTCGTAGCATCGCGTTGACCGAACTTAGAGTGTAAGGGCCGTGGCACACAAAAAACTTAAGGCAATAAGACATAAGCAGTAAAGAAATTAATATGTTGGGTTGGCTACTATTTGTTATGGCTTTACGGACTCTAATATGATTAGTCAACTCGATTATTGCTTACGTTTTACCGCTTAAATTCTTTTGTGTGCCATGACCCTAACACTGTCTTACACAAAGTGTTCCAACTATATGACACAGTGTTACACTGCTCGACACAGTAAAAAGCTAAGTACGAGCGTGTAAAATATGTGTCAATGTTACTAACTTTTCAAAAAATTATTTGGTAGCCATATTTATTCTGCAATAAAACCTTCAAAAATCGCCAATTCTGAAAAAATTTAAAAATCATAAATCTATTATTGATACGCTAAATATAATTATAAGAATAGAATGGAAGACTGCAATGCATTCTGGTGTTACATTATGAAACTAAACTGCGTTCCAACAAGTACTTTACATAGTAGAACACAATGTAACGTGTTCTTGTGTTCTAGCTAGAAAACAGCCATGGTACGCCCAGTTTGCAACTGGCTCTTTCTATGGCTGGTATTCATAGTCAGTTTTTATTTTAAGACCGTCTCAAATAATGTCTTAAGACGCCAATGCGACCCTCTTATTGGTTCGTGACCATCTCAAGGCAGAACTTAAGATGGTCTTGAAATAAGAACCGACTATGAATATGAGCTTAAATATCCGCCGTCTCTGTCTATGAATATAATATAAATTAAAAATAAGTGTATGGAAAGGCTATACCAAATGTAAAAGAATTAATAAACAACAAAGTAAATGTGTAAATATAAGAAACAAATATAATTAACATGATCTAAAGCAAATAACAAATGTCATTTCGAGCCCGATCGGGTCATCTTCAATGTTATATATAAACATAATTAAATAGAAAAGATAAATTAAAATAATATACTCGACATGGGCTGATAGGCTCGTGCTTGAATGTTTGGCTACCGGTTTCGCCAAACCGCCGTCTGATTTTGTGTCGCCACCGTTAACGTAGAGTTCTTTTTGGGCTGAGTACAGTTAACTCAGTAACTCTCGGAAGCCTATAGAATAGAAATTAGAATAGATAATGGATATAAAACAAAAAGTTATACAAAAGTTTAATGAACAATTAGGATCGACTTTAAAAAATCTTGAAGGAATTTACGATTTTGAAGAGCATCTCAAAGCAGAAAAGGATGAGATTGAAAAATCAGTCAGTATTTATTTACAAAATAGCATATATAACATAGCTAAACATTACGTATCAATTGCTCCCTGTTTACAGCTCTCAATGGCATCGACCACTGCTCCTTCTAAGGTAAAGGCAGTAGTTGAAAATGTAGAATGTGTCAATTTTGAAGTTGAGCAGTTACAAGAAATTTGTTTAAATCTCAGTAAGAGGATCAAAGAGACATTTAGCGAAAATGACAAAAATTTAGAGCTGCAAGAAGTTGTTGATAAAATAAGTCAGCTGGACAAATCGTTATCCTATTTATACTTCATAAAATATGTAGAAAATATTAGGTAATAAACTGTTAAAGATGACATATGCACAGAATGGAAGTATACATTCCTTATAACACCATTACTTTTTATCATGATTTTGTTGTAATTTGGTAATAACGTTGCGAATTTTTTATTATAATAGCATAATGATATAATACTAGACTTAGAAAAATCAAATGTTACTTGTAACGGATTAGAAGTCTTAGAGAAGTCACTCATTACTGAAGAAGATAACTTTTTATTTCTAACTACATCATTGTCAAATTATTATAAGAAGTAACGGTAAAAGTAATGGCATAGTAACTCTTTTATTTCCTGGACATATATAAAGTGTTTTATTTTTTATTATTAAATAATTATATTATACTTAGCCATGAAATAGAAGCATCCTTGTTATCTGGCGATGATCAGTCGATGATAACTCTATATACAACCTTAACAAACATCAGTTGCCAATTGCAAACATCTGTATGTCATCATCTGGTCAATTATGTTCATGAAACTTTACATTTTTGGTACAATATAATCAAGAAAAAATTGTCAAAGTATGTCCTTGTATAGATTCAGAACATAATTCATATACTATACTTCCTAAATATGTAATATTTATAGAGAATACAATGATTTATTGAAGACATTAAAATGGCCCTTTTGTGGAACCAATGCTACTTCATCAAGCACATCTTTACCAGAAACAATGACAAGATTTAAGATACTCATTGAATATCTCTTTCATCTACAGTTACCGTATCCTTGCATATATAATTTAATTATTTTAGATTCGAAAAGTGAAAAAAACTATTTCATATTGTCCTTAATATATTCAGAGACGAAACGATTAAACCGGTAGTAACTTCTGTGCTGTTAACAGACTTTGCACCAATTAGTTTGCCAATCACCTTCTTAGTACGTCCGCTCCGACAAAGATTTGTTTATCATTTCACAGGAGCTAAATTGACAAATCGTCAAGATAAGCCAGAATGGTTTTTTACACAAATATTAACATGGATCAAAGATCATGTTCAATGGGTACAAAAAAACGTTCAACCTGTAGCAGATTCTGTAGGTTTCGCACATTTAGATGTAAAGGTTTGATATAACAATTATTAATTGAATATTGATATTGGCTCTTAATATCATTTCTGGTCACTAATTATAGTAATTATATAATATAGGCGGAATTTATGCGTGCTTTAGTTCAATTAGCTGTTGAAAAACTTCATTCCGAATTGCCCATGGTGCAATATGATGACACTTTATTTGCGCATTTAGTAGACGAAGCTTTAGGATTTGAGAGAGAGTTGCGAGAGACTCTGTCGTATCCTCACAATCAGCCGGCTACTATTTTTGTTCTTACGCAAGCCCATATTTTTGTAAAATGGATAAACATGGAGAAAAAATGTAAGTACATGAAGAAGTAATATTTCATATATACTCAAACAGGTATATTATGACTTTAGATGCAACTGAAAAAATGGATGCAATATTAAGCTCAAATACAGCTTGGGAAAGATTGACGAGTCCTGATATAGATGATATGAAAGTCACTGAATGTGCAGACGCCTTTCTTACACTTCTTACCACTATTTCTGATAGATACAAACATTTACCTCAGCCTGGACATAGGTAAATTATACGAAATCGTTATAAGCAAGAGATAATAATACTTATTTACGTTGATATTGTTTAAGATTACAATTTCTCGAATTGCAATTGGAATTGATTGACGATTGGCGAGTACGATTGTTACAATTGTTACATGAAAATTATGAAGATCCATTAACGTCACTTATGCCATATATTCTCAATACACTACATTATGTGGCGACCGTTTTGGAAGAATGGGGGGTGACTGTTGTACGTATATTTTTATCTGCAATCATACACAAATTACATATTATATTTATCATAATCTCACGTTTGTGTAGCACTTCTTGCAACTGCATTTCTTCAAGAAGCAATTCGAAGCTGTGGAAAATGCCACGGACAAAGGTAACGACGTTAAGAATATTGGAGAAATAGAGGGAACTGTATTTGATGAAGCTGTAGTTCTTTTACGACGACTAGAGAAAGAACTGATAAATGAAATCAGTGACTCGGTAGCTTTAGATGTAAAAGCAAAAAGTAGAGCTTATAGAACAGACAAGTAAGAATTTTCCCAGTCTACTCAACTACAATTATTTTTCAAGTAAAAACTAGTAAGAAAGAATATATATATATATATATATGTACACACACACACATATATACACATATATACATGTGTGTATATA